CATCAGTAAATAAAAAGTAATACTTTCTATTCACGATACTGGTCATTATAAGGTTACCTATAAGGCATAGGGCCTGAAAACTAAACCACCTGTCTCCCATAGTATCTGTCCAGCTGATCCAATCTGGCAGGGTTGGTCCATTCCAGGTTCCTTCAGTTCAACAAGGCCATCTATCAGGACCCCAGAAGTATGCCTTCAGTGAAGCAACACCTGCCCTGTGGCATGAGTTCCCCATGAGATTTAAGTGGTCCCCACCCTGCCGGTGCCTTGAAAACCTTGCTTCTTCCCCAGCCCTTTGGCAAGGGTGATTGAAGCCTCCTTTAGACTACGGGGTTTATTTTTTCTCTTGGCTCCCATCCAGTTTTGTCATTTTTGCCATCTTTATTTACTTTGTTTTCTTGTTTTGTAGTGTTTTTTTAACAATGTGTAAATCACCTGGCATCACCAAGAGTCAGGTGGCCTAGTCTGTACACTTATTAAATGAAGAGGAAGAGGAGGTATCAAAATATACTAGCCCAAATAGATGTTTTACAAATGAAAAAGAAATACAAAACAATAATTGCATAGATCAGATGTAGTGTCAGGGTTCCAAGCAGGGGTGGAATTCAAATTTTTTAAGAACCGGTTCTGTGAGCATGGCTTAGTTTTTGGGCGTGGTTTGGTGGTCATGTGACTGGGTGGATGTAGCTTGGTGGTCATGTTATTGGCTGGGGATGTCCAATTCAATATCACTCACATCGAGGCATGCATCTCCTCTCCTGGCTTCTCATGACTGTGGGGATGCTGCAACAGTCGTAAGTGTGAAAAATGGTCATAAGTCACTTTTTTCAGTGCCATTGTAACTTTGAATGGTCACTCCACACAAGCAAAGTACCAGCAAAGGAGGGGGAAAAAACCCCAGAGATGTTCCTGAGACAGGAAGTCTAGTCCTGCCAAGAATGTAATAAGGGTTAACGGAGAGGCAGTTTCTGCAAGCAACACCAGAATGTTTCCTTCCTGCCTTCCTTACAGGATTAGGCCAGTAATTTCTTCTAATAACCAGTTCTCCAAACTGCTTAGAATATTAACAACCGGTTCCAGCGAATAGGTGCGAACTGGTAGAATCCCACCCCTGGTTCCAAGTAATAGATCCATTGCAAGCAAAAACTCTGAGGCAGGTGAATTCCTCAAAGAATAGCTTTATTGGAAATATCATATTGGCACGTATCTGGTGAAAATCAACTGAGGGGCCCCTTGGTTTTCACCTAATTAAAAGTAACAAAAGAATTCCTGAATCCCAAACAAACAGTCACATGGCCCAAACAAGGCAGGGTCCACTGGTCTGGTGACATCACTCCTCCCTCCGGCCAGGTGTGAGAACGTCATTGGATCCCAAGAGGAAGTATTTTATTTTGACCACACAACCTCTCTAGTCTATCTCTAGTCCCCACTCCCTATCCCTTGCTCCAGTGTGGCAGCACTGAAGCTCCAAGGTGGCTTCAGCCAGGTCAGCTTCAGGGTTGACGGGGGATGGGAATTAAAATGTGCACAAAACAAAGCAAACCCTTGAGTTTTCCAGTGTTCAAGAGACTAGTGGTGAAAAGAACACTGCCACCACACACACACACACACAAACAAGGCAGAAGATTATAGGGCAGGGGTGTCAAACTGTCATGCATAGGCCACACCCATCTCAGCTCCACGAAGTGAAAAATATCCTGATACGTCATGTAACAACACTGTGACACTGTGAGTTTGACACCCATGTTGCAGGGCCTAGGATCATGCCTTGTATCATGTGGGAGGGGGAATTGAAGAATGACACAGTCTCCAAAATTCTGAGCTACTGTCTACTCCTCCCATTGGACAAATTATTTTAGATTTTATTTTCCTTGCAGCTATTTCTTCTGCCAGTTTCTTCCCCACCACCAAATTTCATCACTTCTACTAATTTGGGGGAGTTATCCAGCTGACAGATACACTGATGGACAAACTCCCTTTACATATTTTTCCCAACATTTCTGTGGGTTAGAAAGATTAAGGGCTATTAAAGAAAACCCCAGGAAAACTCTACAAGCAGCCTCAAACAATAAAGCTTGGTGTATTCACCTGACACTTTGCTATAGTTAATTGAGTATGAATTACTCAATTCCATTGGCACTAAACTATAAGCTAACCACATTGTCTGGGTTTGCATAACATGCGAAGTTTGTGGTTTGCAACTGCTGAATGTATTAGCCAACAGAGAAGATGTTGCAAGCATTCACATCTACCATTCCAGGACAATGAACCAATCGTTGATCCCCATTTCTAAAAAGAATGATTAACAGCAACTAGATTTGTATCTTGCCTTTAGCAAAAATGGATTTCCAAACAAGAAAGAGAACAGCAATAAAGACCTTTGCATTAGCAAAGCCAACCAGAATTTTACTTTTGGAAGTGAATTAGCCCCAAATCCATTGAAGCCAACTTGTTCATCATTACTTACTGGCTGGGAGAAATAAAATCCAAAAACTCTTCTTAATTCCATCTTTTTGTACTGTCTTAATTCCTTTTCCCCTGAATTATGTTGGTAGATAAAAAGAAGCTAACATGACCAGTAATGAGATGGATAATTTTAATTAAGAACAATCAATTTTTAAGCTTGCACAACCCGATAATCTGCAACCTAATTTACTAAGCAGTCCTAAAGTAGGAGTAAAAATGAAGATATACTATATCGTCATGTATTTTAAAGAATTTGGGTAAAAAATATCAGTGCTTTTTTTCTGGGCCAAACAATAGCTAATTATTCCTTGGGTATAGTGCTTGTATCATCCAGGAACTGCATCAGAGTTCTTTCTATGTATCTGCAGTAAGGTAGATAAAATCTTGTAAGGGAACCATTTAATACTTTTAATCTCTGTATAATGCTTGAGAGAATCTAGAATAATTTGTTATCGGATTGTATCAAAAACAACGAAGTGAGCATTGAAAATATCAGCCATAGCAAAGGCTTCCATTCAGTTCTGGAAACATGCATCAGGCCAAAGAAGGTCATTAAAAATAACATATTAAAAGAGACAAAAATAATATTTTTTTAAACAGCCTTAATTAGGCCAGAACAAATAATCTCTCTTAAGATACTGGCTGGTGCACTTTTATACTGAATATTTCATATAGTCATGATTTATTGTAAACAACATTTACTGAATAACTGAGAATGCAATATACTAAGCCATACAAGCTTGTTTGATTTTACGAAGCATATTGTTTGAATCCAGTTGCTGTGGTTTAGTCAATGTATTATGTTTAAGTGTGGTATACAAACCAAGCTGAATGGTAATTATTCTAGTGAAGAATTGGAATCCTACAAGTTTCAAACGTTTTCCTGCCCCTCTAATTACTTTCCTTTCATTCCTTACTTCTTTCAGATCCCCTCTCCACACTAGGAGTTATGAGGATTTGGAGGGTAGAATGCCGTAATCCGTTGCATCAGGGTAGCGTTGGGGTGACTGAGTGAGCTGGAGCGTTTACTGACCCAATGCCCTTCCTGATGCCTCTGTGGAGTTCACAGCAGACAATTACGCATTGCGCCCAGAGAGAGAAAATAAAACTTAAAAATAAAAGGTGAAAAACAATGAATTATCTACCAAAGATCATACAGCAAGCTTTGGTTTCTGAAAATTCAGCATTTATTAATCCTATGTTTTAAACTTAAAGATTGATTCCTGGATTTCACTTCCTGTAAGAGTTAATAGAGGATAGAAAACCCATTCTTTTCTAAGCAGTTTAAGATCTCTAGCCTCCTTTTTCAAGTCAGTTTCTTTAAATATTCTTTCAGTTCAATATTTCTTCTCTTGTGCCTCAGATGGCTCTTTTAGTGAGGACTTTAAGCATATCATCATTACTGTATTGAAAAGCAAGAATATGGCAATTTATATCTATGATACAAGTTGGAGGGAAAAAAGCCTACAATTCTTGACAAATTCCTATTCAAAAGCAACATTCTACAAAGAGACTAAAGTTAAAAGAATATTTATATTCTATAAGGATATTCAATCATTTACATATTCTATATTACTTAATACCATTTTCATATAGAAACGATGCAATTTGCAGTTTTATTTTTCAATCATCTAACTTTTTGTTATATTAAAATCATCCAGGGATGTATTATGTGCACCACTGCGATATGAAAGGAGCTTCCAGGAATCTAACTTTTCCAACTCCTCCTCTCCCAATGGTCTGGATTCAATCTTTCAAGGTACAAAAATAATCTCATATTAACATAAATAGTAACAAACATTTTTGTATAATTTAATCTGATTATATTTAGTAAATATATTTATGCAATTCTGTACACAAAAACTGCCTTTTTTGTTACATAAATTTTGTTACATAAATTTAATATTCAATCATTCTCCTCAAAATATTACATTTGATCCTTGCCTACCTTGTTCTATACCTAGTCTTGGCTAGATAAGAGAACAAATTATATTAATGTCCATCAAATGTTGATTTTTGGTGCATATGAAATCCTAAATGTTGTCTTTCGAAATATGTATGACATGAGGATTATAAAAGACAGGTAATAAATATAAATGCTAATTGTGAAAAAACATTGCCTATCATAATTTAGTATTTGAATAATAAACATATTCATACTGGATAATGGAAATGTAAGCTTTAGAAACTTCAGAACTACCGTATTTGCCGGCGTATAAGACGACCCGGCGTATAAGACGACCCCCCACCACCACCGGAAACGCCCTCCAGAAATCCCCGGGGCTGCAGCGGCAGGGCGGAGTGCCAGGGGCCATGGGAAGAGCAGGAAGGCTGCAGCCTCGGGCGGAGCGAGGCGAGCGGGATGAAGCGGAAGCGACGCAGGGGATCCGGGAAGCCAGAGGCGCCTTCGCTGCGTCCAACAAGCATCCGAAAGCCGGCAGTGGATATACCGGCGTATAAGACGACCCCCCCACTTGGAGGCATGTTTTTCGGGGCAAAAAAGTCGTCTTATACGCCGGCAAATACGGTATAAATCTATTCTGATTTCACAAAGTTGTTTATTCAGCACTAATTCATACTTCCAAGCTATCCGTAGATGTGTTTTTTTCAATGGTTTCCATTATCCCAGGATTCAGTCAAAGTATATTCAACATTCTGAATCGTCCTTCTTTAGCAGAACTGCTGTTAATGTTTTGCTTTAACTTTCCTTCTTGCATCTTTATGTTTCTTCCGACAATCCTGGAAATGTTGAAAGTTTAAAATAGTTATGATAAATTTTGGTATTAATTAGCATTTCAGCTTTTAGCATCTGAGCAGGGTCCATAATACAATGAATAGAAAATGTGGATAGAAATTAGTTTTCTCCCTTTCCAGCAATGCCTCACAATGAATCAACAAGGGCAAAATGCAGCTTTCTTACCAGCCTGATTTCAAAGTGGAACTAGGATGCATACTGACAAATGAATATTATACAAAAACTTATTAAAAGAAAACAGAATGAATCTTAGATTGTGATTTTGGTTTGCTAGGATCCTGGATCAAAAGTGAGAAATAGCCTTTGGCCCAAATATCAAGAATATCCTTAGCCACATACCTCAAGCAATATTTGGCGCCTGCTTTCCCAATCCTCTGTTTCTTCATCAAGATCTGAAGCTTTATAGAATAGCTTGGGGCCCTCTAGAAAAGGCATAAAGAAAAATGTAAGCTTTGTCAACTGCCTGCCCTGTAACCAAGAAAGAAGCAAGTGATCCCTTTAAGCCAAGGACTCAGGGGCTGCCTAGATGAAACAATTGTACTTCGGTAGCTTAAGGTATTATGGTATTTTCTATCCTGCTGTTGAGATTGCATGCTTTCATCCTCGTGGCTTCAGGAAAAAAATTGCACATATAAAGTTCACGAACCATCAGATTTAACACATTTTGAAACTTAAGGTTTTTCAAGAACATTTCTCTTTTACAAAAGAAAGCTGCCTTTTTCTCCCCATCCTTGTATTCCTCTTTCCCCTCAACATTTGCTTCAAAGATTCCCCAATTCTTTGAGGCAGAACTTAAAAACACTTGGAAGAGGTGGATAGAAAATTTTACCCTTCCAGTGCAATTATAGAGGCAAAACTATATGGTCCTGTCAGCCACAGGATGCTCCTAAGATTGTACTTGATCTTTTAAAAACTATTTTTTTAAAAATATCACCAAATACTGGTTTTCTGTGCAACTGCAACCATTGTTCCAGATAGAAATTTCTTAAAATGACATCAATTTTAATAAGTTTTAAGCTAGACTTCTTTGGCAACTAAAATAGGTAATATTATTCATAGCAATCTGAACTCATGTTAAAACTCTCCAAAAATGTAGAAAAACTTACAGAAATTATGTATATTGAACGCACAACAAACAAAACTTAGGAGACCTCTGAGTTAAATAACTTTGATGTTTACATTTTAAGAATAAATCTGAAGAATAAGTTTGTTGGTAACTAAAATAATTAAGATTTTTTTCTGATTTTTACCTTTTAATCGGTCATCATCTTGTGAGAAGAAGAAAAATCTAATATTTGAATGTAATTCAGCTGGAGAACTGAAAAAGAAACAAAAGTATTAATTTCCAAAACAAAGACAAAAAAACTCTATTTTTCCAAGCCTGAGCAATAAATTCATTTTGAGGAAGAAGTATATCTTTTTATTTCAGAGATGAATTAAACAAACAAATATCTTGTATTTGTTTGTATTAAAAATCTGGAGAATTCGAACTCTCAGAAATAATCAGGAAATAGTTGTTATTTTTTTCAAGAGCAAAACCCAGAAAGTAATGCTGACTGACTGAAATTATAAGGTGGACATTTCAGCAATTTGTTCACATGTTATTGAGGGATACAAGATCACACAGAAACTGGAGTTTCCTGCCTCATTGTCCTTCTTCTGCAGTCCCATATAATCTTTAGGAAAAGCATGGGGTATGATGGGAAATGCAAAGGGAGATGAAAGTCACATAACATTGGTTTAAGGCTTTTGGCTGCTGCTAATGAAACTATAGTATACAATATACATAAGTGGCTTCACTTGGAAAAAAATTGACAGTCAATCATCTCAGAATGGCTCACTATGTTAAATTTGAGGTCTATTCTATCTAAAGTTCAATGAATACTGCAAATGTATAATTTACCTTTCTTTAATATCTTGTACTTCAGCTGCTTCTGATTCTTCGTCTTCTGAACTACTATCTTGAAAACGGGGATCTTCTTGCCAAGCTACTCGTAAAGGTTTTAATATTTCAATTATGTACGGATCTATAAAAAAGGAAAGGAAAGCAAGACCCAACTATTTTCAATACATAAAAACATTTACAGGTAGTCCTCAGCTTAAAGCCATTTGCTTAACAATAGTTCACATTTACAAAAAGTGATTTACAACCTGTCTTCACTTTTAGGATGGTTGCACTAGCCTCACGTTCACATGATCATAATTTGTGTGTTTGGCAACCGGCTTGCATTTACGACCAATTGCAGAGTCCTGGGGTCACATGATCATGATTTGCAACCTTCAAAGCTGATTTCCGACCAAAAACCCATCAATTGGGGAAGCTGGATCCAGCTTTTGATTAGCCTAACAATCACAGGGATTCACTTAACAAGCACAGTAAAAAATGGTTGTAAAATCAGGTCCGGTTCCTTGATGACTTGTTTACAAACACAGCATCTTACAACGGAAATTGTAGAAAGAATTTCGAGGTCAGTAAGAGGAAGATTGTTGGAGGTATTACACTGATTCTGTAAACCCCTTAAAGAGGGTTGTAAAGCACTATGAAGCGGTATATAAGTCTAAGTGCTATTGCTATTCTAATATTGAAAATGCTCTTTGTAAAGCAAGACAGTATTGCAAATCAAAATAAGTAGTTCCCAGGTTATTACATATTAATTCCTTTCTTAGATATCGGACTCAAGTGTGCAAAAGCTGTTAGCATGTTGTTAGTTATGAATAGTCAACATGTTTATATCAACATATTTGTTTCTATTGTTTTATTCCTTCACTATTGTTACTTTTACATTTATCATTTTTCTGTTTTATTATTGTAAGTCACACAGAATAGCCCCATGGTGAGAATTTAATGAATGAATAAATAAATAAATAATCTATTTTTAACTGAAAACACAATCATAAACCATCATAACTAAAATGTTTGCTGAATCACATTGACAGGTCTAAATGGAATTAAATAGTGCTCTGGGAAGTCATCTAGTCTACTCTCTATTCGGTGCAGGATTTACAGATGAGCTTCCAGTCTCTTACTAAAGGCGCATCAATGAAGAGTTCATCATTTCACATGGCAAGCTGTTGAGCATTTTGTTCTCACAGATAACTCAGGTAAACTCACAAGCCAGATTTAAATATATTAGTTCTTCCATTTTGTGGTCCCAATCAACTAGTCATATGGTTGAAATCAGGCATCCCAACTTGTGGGCCATGGCCCACTATCAGGCTGTGGCCTATTTGCAACCAGGCCATGGTAATATAAAAGGTAATATGCAGGCACAAATGACTTCAATTTGATTGATACTGTAAAAACCACAGAAAAGCTGTTGAACATATATTTCTTCTGAGTAATATTAAAGTTCTGTAGAAATAAAAGATAGAAGCAATGTTTAGATATGAGCAAATTTGGAATATTATGGATCATTTTCATCCATCAAGCCTAGCAACCAGGGCAGGTAGTACAGAACTGGTATAACATATTTCTATTCATCTCTTATCAAAATAAAATCACTCTGTTCTTTAAAGAAAAGACCCGCACAAATTGCAACACAGTGATCAGGTCTTAAAGGGTGCTGCTAATGCAAAAACATGTGTTTGAAATACTGAGACTATGGTTTAGATTCGAGTATGTAAAGATACCTTCTTTAATAGGTGATCTTGCCACTTCATCACCAAAAAAGGAAAAGGTGAAACCCTTGTTTCCTTCTTGTCTTTCAGCATTGAATTTTGGTATATCGGTTGAAGGGGTTTGTTCAGCATCATCATGTTGGTCCCATGGTATTATTTCTTTTTTTTCATCCTGTTTTGTAGATCCAAGTGCTTCTTTTAAGTCCACTGCGACATTATAAAATGTATCTTTAGACACCTCAGGCAGTTTCTGAGCTTCTTCTTTTTTCTTCTTCTTTTTAGCTTTACTATTTGATGTAAATAGTGTGTTAATTGCTAATATTTGACTGATCAAATATATAATTTTATACAAGTAGTTTGTATTATATAAGATGTTTACACCAAAGAAATACAAATGCAGATGCTTTCACAATCCATTTTTGTTAATGCATTCAATATATAAATCCCAGTAAACACAATAACCTAACTTGGATTATTTTTTTCACATAGTATAAAATATTTGTACTGATTTATAGTCCAATTCAGAAAAGGTATAACATTTAATTTCAACATTTGATGACCAATGTGTTTTCTAAAAAAAGGAATCCATCACTCTTAGAAATCCTGACAATTAAGAAACATTTTAAAATTGCAACTTTTATCTGAAACTTTTCCCAAGTAAAGATTTTCTTCTCATTTTTTCATTCCCATTATTAATTAAAACTGAAATTTTTTATTCATTTGTTGAATAAAATAAATATTTGACACTAAACAGTCACAGAGTTGAAATAGTGAATTGGTCAAAGAAAAGACAGCTTAATTCTTATAATCAGCTACTGATGGAATCATTACCTCTCTTTTTCAGTATTAGCTGGCTTTTTTTCAAACACTGCATGATCTTCCCTTGTGGGGTCATAGCGTAAGGTATTCATATCTCTATAAATAAATAATATTTATATAATAACAAAAAGAATTAAACATCCTTAAGTAAGTTTAGATACCATAAAAATTCCACGGGATAATTTTTTTCATTCTAGGATATTTATAAGTATGTTGAGGAGCAAACTATATATAAATCAATAAAATGTCAAATAATTTTGAAAAAAAAAAACTATATTAAGTCTACATTTCTACTTAGAAGTAATCCTATTGAGTTGAATGGACTTAATCTGATAAAAATCGGTTTAAGATTGTAGTCTTAATTAGCAATGTTATATTATCTTTGTTCACAATCAGGTAGACATGTACTTTTCTATAAGTGTCAAGAAATAATTAAGTTTTATATGAGACTGATTATATTATTAGAAAGGATTGCAATTATTTCATTACTTATGCCAATGCTTCTGTGCTTCCCTATCTCAGGGAGGACTCGGTATCTTTTAACAGTACAAAATCTTACAGTATTAAAATAACAAATAACTTCTAATCAGGGTTAAATGCTTTATTGTAGGTCCATAATTTCAGTGTCTCTCATAGCTTGCCGGCAATGCTAGATGAATTAGTGTTAGGGGAGTACTATGAATATAATAATTATCTATCTGGTCTTAGTTTTTCTACTAAAGTATTTTTCACACCTGAATTTCTGGCCTTCTGCAGCTAGCTTCCTACATTTGGGAGGGTCTATATCAATATGTAGAAGATTTTTCAAGATCTCAAGATTCTTCTTTTTTTCTAAAGAAAGTTCCTCTTCTTCCTCTGTTATCGATTTCTTTGATTTCTCTGACAGGGAAAAAATGGAACAGACTTAGTTACTGAATTCACAGAACTGATACCAATTGCACTCAGCCATTACATCAAACCATATATTACTTTATCACACAACTCTATATTAGCTCAAAAGTTGTGCAGGACAGAATGCATGAGTACTTGGATTAAAGACCAAAAAAACTGTAGTGCTGTATGTTAAAAGATCTTAGTGCTGGGTATTGGGTTGGTAATGCCAGATTTTAGGTATTTTTTAATATCTGGTTTCAATGTTATTCCTGAAATAGTTGTAATTTGATCACCTTGAACTAAACTCAACTTGAAGGATTACTTATGAGCCATGGTGATGCAGTGGTTAGAGTGCAGTACTGCAGGCTACTTCTGCTGACTGCTGGCTGCCTGTAATTTGGCAGTTCAAATCTCACCAGGCTCAAGGTTGACTCAGCCTTCCATTCTTCCGAGGGAGGTAAAATGAGGACCCAGATTATTGGGGGCAATATGCTGACTCTGTAAACTGCTTAGAGAGGGCTGTAAAGCACTGTAAAGTGGTATATAAGTCTAAGTGCTATTGCTATTATTAAGATACAGGATAGATTGATGCTGATTTGCAACCAAATTTGTGTAAATTGAAACTTGCTTATAAGTCTAAATTAATAGATTCAGTCACTGCCCAGGCTTAGCACACTGGCTGTGTCAGGTCAATGTACGTCCTTATGAATCTGGATATGAATAAGATTCAGACAGAAACAGCTCCAAATTTGTCTGTGTTTTTTTAAAAATAAATTTTATTGATTTTACAATTAAAACAAACCAACAACACATACATAAATGAAAGAGAGAAAAAGAAGGGAGAAGAAAATAGAAAGTAAAAAATAGAAAACAATTAAAAACATTCTCATCTTCAACAGTTTGTAGGACCTCTTTTTTATCCTTATTTTATGCCATATACACACACCTAATCCTTACATATATCTGTGTATCACTACTATGGATTTATCCTATCCTCTTTTGCCTTTTAGTGTGAAGTCTATCTTTGGTCTATCCATTTGTACCAGCAGTTCCAGCTGTTGTAGTATATTGAAGTGTCTTTATTTTTTAATGCCAAAGTGAATTTGTCCATTTCTGCACAAGTTGAAATTTTTTGAATGATTATCTCCTCTGATGGAACATGAGGCTGCTTCCAACATTGTGCAAAAGCCAATCTGGCCGCTGTCAAAATGTGTATTATTATATATTTCACTTTTTTTGATATTTGTTTATCAAAGATCCCTAACAGAAAGGACTCTGGTTTGAATTCGATCTGTTCTCTTGTCATTTCTTCCAGCCAATTTCTAATTTTCTGCCAATATTTTTGAGCTTCTGTACAGGACCACCACATATGGAAAAAAGTTCCCTCTTTTTTTTTTTGCATTTCCAGCAATTCGGACTCATATTGGGGTGCATCTTCGCTAATCTCGAAGGAGGAAGGTGCCATCTATAAAACATTTTATAGGCATTTTCTTTGTATGCTACTAATTTTGTAATTTTATTATTTCTACCCCAGACCTTTTCCCATTTTGTTATGGTGATGCTACGTCCTATATTCCTACTCCAGGCTATCATATTCCCTTTTACAATTTCTTCTTCTAATTCTACTTCTAATAAATAATTATAAAATTTTGTTATATTTTTTTTGCCTGATCCTAATAAAATTTTATCTAATTGCTGGAGTTTATTGTTAATTCCAAATTCTTTTTTGTCCTGTTTATATCTACTTTGAATTTGAAGATATGCCCACTGATCAATTTTTAGTCGCCGCTCTTGAAGTTCTTGCCGCGATTTCAAATTTCTTTGTGTATCCAATAGGTCCTTATATTTAATCATTTTAGTGAGATCCAGATTATTTGGGTGAATCATCGCCTCCATTATTGAAATCCAAATTGGTATTTTTAAATAGTGTTTTTTCCGTATTTTCTTCCAATTAGTTAATAATGAGTCTCTGATTAGGTGTCTGTGAAAATATTTCTGGCTATTTTTCCCTACATCCCATAAAAAAGCATGCCACCCCCTCTGCAAGTCATGGCCTTCTAAGAATAATATTCTCTTATTGGTTAAATTCACCCATTCCTTCAACCATACTAAAGAGGCTGCACTATAATACAACTCCCAATTTGGAAGTGCCAGCCCTCCCCTGCTCTTCACATCCTGCATTGCCTTTAAATTTATTCTAGGTTTTTTCCCTTGTCAGATAAATTTTACAGTTATTTTATTAAGTTCTTCAAAAAAAAAAAAGTGTACTTTGATTGGGATCGTCTGAAATATATATAGGAATTTTGGAAGAATATTCATTTTAATAGCAGCAATCCTGCCTAATCATGAAAGTTGCAGCTTGCCCCATGTTTCTAAATCCTTCTTTACCTGTTGCATCAATTTATCATAATTATTTTCCTTAAGTGTCTTACAATGTGCTGTCAACCATATTCCTAAGTATTTAACTTTCTTTATCACTTGTATTCCCATAACTTCTTCTAGTTCTATTTTCTGTTTTTCTGTTAAATTTTTAGTCATTAATTTTGTTTTTTTCCTATTAATTTTAAGTCCTGCTACTGCTGCAAATTGTTCTAATTCATTCATCAATTTTTGTCCTCTTTCTATTGGTTCCTCAATGAAAAAAATCATATCATCAGCAAACGCTTGCAACTTATATTCTTCTTTCTTAACCTTTAATCTTTTATGTCTGGGTTCTGTCTAATTCGCATTAGTAATGCTTCTAATGATAATATGAAGAGCAGGGGTGAGAGTGGGCAGCCCTGTCTGACTCCTTTTTTCTATTTTTATTGGGCGGGTATATTCCCCGTTTATTATAATATTAGCCTGTTGTGTATCATAAATGGTTGTTATAATATTTTCAAATTTGGTGCCTAAATTCATATTATAATTTTTTTGGATTAAAAATTGCCAATTTAAATTATTGAAGGCCTTCTCTGCATCTAAAAACATAAGTGCAATTTGTTTTTCGGGGTGGGCTTCATAAAATTCTAAGACATCTAGTACTATTCTTAAGTTGTTCCTGATTTGTCTGGTCGGGGGAAATCCATTTTGATCTTCATATATATGCTCATTTAACATTCTTTTTAGTCTACTTGCTATAATAGAAGTGAATATTTTGTTATCAGTATTTAACAGTGAAATCGGCCTATAATTATGTATATATCGGGGATCCGAATCCTCCTTTGGGATCAGCGAAATCAATGCCCCCCTCCATGAGTCCGGCATCCTGGCTGCCAATAAGACGTCATTAAAAACTTCCACCATAAGAGGTCCTATTTGTTCTGCTATTGCCTTGTACAGCTCCCCTGGAATCCCATCTGGTCCCAGGGATTTATCGTTTTTCTGGTTCTCTATTGCTGATTTCAATTCAAACCAAGTAATATCTTTGTTTAATAATTCTTCCATTTCTTCCCCAATTGCTTTATCCTTCATCTAAATAGTTTCTTATTCTATCTTCGTTAACTTCTTCCTTTTTATACAGTTCTTCAAAATACTTATGAGCAATTTCTTTTTTCTGTTCTATCTCCTGTTGTATATCCCCCTTTCCATCTATTAGCTGGTATATCAATCTCTTTTCTTTCCTTTTTTTTGTCTATATGATAGCCATCTCCCTGGCTTATTAGCATGCTCAAAATAAGTTTGTCTAGTTGTATTCAAATTTATAATCATTCTCTCTTGTTCAATTAAATTCAATATATGTTTAGTTATTATTATCTGATTTTGCAATTTTGAATCCTTTGGGGTACTCTGTAATTGAGTTTCTAATTCCTTAATTTTTTGTTGTAATTTGTTTTGCTGGGCGTATTTTTCCTTATTCCTCTTGGCGTTATAAGAGATTGTTATACCTCTTATTACTGCCTTCATTGTATCCCAAATGTTTTGTTTCATAGTTGCTCCATTATCATTTTCCTTTAAGAAATAATTTAATTCCTCCTTGAGTTTGTTGGTGTATTCTTTTTCTCTTATTAACTGAGTATTGAACGTCCATCTTTTCTTGGGTTTTTCCCTACCCTTCCATATTATCTGAATTGGATTGTGATCTGCCCATTCATTAGGTAAAATTTCAATCCCTTTTATCTCATTTGCTATTTCCCCATTCTCCCATGCCATATCAATTCATGTACATATTTGATGAGGATTTGAATAGAATGTAAATTTCTATGTAATCTTCTCCATATATCAATCAAATTTAACTCCTTCATCATTTCCATACATATCTTGGGAAGCTCTCTTTCCCCTCCTTTGTTCTTCCCCCCATTACTGTGGTCTTTTTGATAATCAGCAATAGAATTTTGAAGTAAGTTTTTAGCTTTCCATCTCTAAGTTTGAGAGCTTTCACTCCAAACGCACCGGAAGTGGGGAGGTAAAAAATGCTGAGTAGTGACTGCAATTACATGGTATCTCCACACATTCGGAAGCTTCCACTTTTACTTTTTGTCTTAGCGTTCCTAAGTTCAATTTTCCTGATTTTCTTCAGATGGAACCACCTCCTCAATTAGATCAGTATGCTCCCTAAAGGGCTGTTAAGTGGTTTATATCAGTTATATTGTTACGATAGCTTCAGGGTTTCTAAGTATCGCCTGTGGCGCCACACTGTCTCTGTTCCATCAGCTTCGATCTTCTTCCCGTCTCCGCTTTAATAAAGTCTTTCAGAATAAAAATCAAATGAGATAGTCCAAATCCTCCACAACTTCCAGCCACCTTCCAGCCGCTAGTCTCCCAACCTCGTAAACTTCCCTTTTTACTCGTTATTGTCCTCTCTCTCTCTTCTGTCTGCCAAGCCTTTCACTTTCACTTGCCTCGCATCTGCTTTATGGCCGCTTTCTTTTAGGGCTCCGGACAGACACTTGTAACAGCCTTATAAAAGTCTATAGCATTCCAATCATCCTCTCCGCCGCTAATTTTCTCTGCCAAACTCTTCCCCAATGATCTCACAAACTGTCACTCACTTGCTTCTTTACATCGGTGGCAGTCCGGACTTCAGAGCCGCCATTGACAGGGGGCTGTTTCTTGCTCGTTGGGCTCTGGAGGGCTCCTCTTTGCTGCAGGGGGGTTGCCTTCCCCACACTGCAACCCGAGTCTCCCCCACGCCGGCACGAATCTCTCCGGGACTCGTGCACCCTCAAAGGATCGCACCAGCCACAAAAAGAGATTAAACTGAAACCACAGACGGGCTTCTGCACCTCTGTTCATCCTTGCCTTGCCACCGGAAGTCTCCAAATTTGTCTGTGTTAATTAAACTATATTTCATTGTCCAAAAGTATTTTCTTTAAGATTAGCTACAACTTATCTATTATCTATACTTAAGAAAGGAGAATGAATGCATGGAAGTCTGATTCTCACTGCAACTATTTTGTACAATGAAGAAATCAAATTTTGTCATATCCAAACCAATTTTCCTGCCTTGGATATACCAGTATTTTCTTCATACTTTGGTTAGTTTTAATTTAAGATGTCTATTTCTATTTTTCAGATCAGATAGGTCCTCAATAATCATTATCCACTGTCTATATATCATTATTACTATGATTATTAGATTTTTATCCCACTTATATAACTTAACCTACCTACATACATACATACATACATACACACACACACACACACACACACACTCAAGGTGGTAAACTCAAGGTGATAAACATACCTAATACCTTTTCCTTCTATTGTTTCCACAATCATGACCCTGTGAAGTAGGTTGGGCTGAGAGAGAGTAATTTGTTCAAAGTCACACAACTGGCTTTCATACCTAAGGCAGGACTAGAATTCACTGTATCCTGGTTTCTAGGCCCGGACCTTAACCATTGGCTCTATAGTAGATAGACAGATAGTAATATCTCTATGCCAGTAGTAACGCATTGCAAGAGGTATAGCCCCCAAAACAAATAGAAGCTCTCAAGTCATCTTCTAAAATAACCAATAGCCTAACAAATATAATTAAAGACACATATCCACTTTCAAGCATTTTTCATCATTTTCAGTTTACAGTGGAAGATGTTTCTAAGAAATTCTGTGAAATACCTTTTTATATTTTGAGTTTGTCCCTGTTACGTACAAATGATAAAAAATGTAAATATACTAATATACTTAGTATTTTTCCCTGTTCAGAGGAAACATATGTTACTACTCTTTCCACTGTATACCTTAAGTCATGTGTAAAATGTTTTTGAAGGACCTTTTGATCTATGCAGAGGAATTACTGCGAAATAAATATTCAAAGGAATTGTAGAAAGAGGTTTATTGTAATGAAGTCTTGCAAGCATTCTACTAGCAATCAATAGAATACTGTATATCTTACCTTCCTGATCACTATCACTTTCAAGGAAACGAGCATCCATACGAAATCTTTCATCTGTGCCAAAATGTGACTGTAAATGCATAAGCTGCAACGAGAAAGAGTAGTAGCAGAGGGGTTATATTCTTTATTGCAATTACTTTTTCAGAACAGATTTTTTTTTTACTAGAATATCCATTTTTGTAAAGTGTTTTACTTGGTTTTGCTCTTGAATTTTCCTTGGTAAACCAGTTATAAACATAAACATTTTTTAATTCTTATGAACCTCTTTCAGGTTTGCCACTTTTCATGTTACTCCTTTATTTCTTGTCTATGGAGATTCTCAATCATCCAGGTCATGGTTATTTTAAAGGTGCTTTTCAAAAAGCTGAACTTTCTTGGTTTTTTTTCCTTGAAAATGTTTCTCATCCAAGAGCTTCAGTTCTAGAACTGAGGAAGTGAATTGAAGAAGCTTCTTGGGTGAGAAACGAAATGTTTTCAAGAAAAAACAACAACCAAGGAAGTCTAGTTACCCTTTTAAAAGCAATGTTGGGACATTCTTTACTTTGTGGTACCACATTTTGTGAAAGAAATAAAATGAACCCAAGGGACACAAAACTGTTCATAGTAGAGAAAGACTGGATTATAGAAAAATGCTGCCTAATGCAGGAAAGAAACTGATAAAATGAATAAGATTTATATCCGGAGCCTAGAGACAGAAGCATGTGACCTAGCAGATGCTTACATGTTGGATAAAACTGCTGGAAACTGTACACAATATTAGGAACACTTATTCCAGAATTGTAAGAAGCCATGAAAATAATAACACTAAGTAAGCATACCAACCTTCTCTCCAGCTTTGCCCTCAAACTGAGGTTTGATTTTGAACCGATCATTTTCGCCAGCTGCAGTGTCTGATTCTTCATCGCTGCTCTCAAACAGCTTCCCAGAAGTTTTGGGTGTGAACTCCTTGGGCACAATAATGAACATGCATTTCATTTGAACAAACTCATTCTTGGGATAATGCCAAATGTTTTTAGCAAGTACTCCACCAGCTATAGCAAGATAAGAGGTTAGGAAAGTATCCTTCCCGCCCCTCCTCCAAAACTCTTTTCTTACTCCCTTAACCTTGGCCCAAGCGCCATTCTCTTTCACCATAAACAGAATGGTAATGGTTCCTGAGATAGACTATACCTGCTTGTCACCTAAACAGTCTGCTGAAACTAACAGAATTTTTCTGTTGCGTTTTAAAAGAAAAACTCAAATAATTTCCGATTTAATTCAATGGAATCTTGCAGAATTTCTTTACCCCAATTTGGGAAAACTGGCCTGTGTTACTATTTTAACAATAGTGTAGCAGCGCATAGCAGTGCTACATTTTGTTAGTATCTGGATTAAGTTATTTTATATTTACTTGTATCTTTAGTAGCTCAGCCTCTGCTCTTTTATAGGACCTGTATTAATTGTTAAACTTATTTGTTTTTTTCCTCTTTCTTGTTAAAGTGTTCTGACTGTATCAATGAGGGCAACTATAATTTAAAATAAGTGGATTTTTTTTTTCTTCAACCACTAGCTACAGAAAATTTGTCTGAAGATGTAAAAATAATCTCTAAGGATAGAATAAATTCCCTTCTAGTTTGCTCACCTTTACTGGGATCTTTCCTGAAGATTCTTCTTCAGCACACTCTTGTACTTCGTTCTCATTATCTGAACCAAACACGATGTGCTTCTGTTTATTTGGTGACTGAATTTGCTAAAATTACATTAACAATTAACTAGGGATTATTAGGGACATAATGATCAAGGAGTGAAAAGAAACAGAGATCCAACCATCAATAAAGGGTCTTGTGGCAACTTAAAAAGATGAGAATCATAGTATAATTTTTGTGTGGATCAGGCTCAAATTCATTAGATTCATACATTCATACTCATCATTCTATTCCCTTTGGGAAGTTACATTATAAATGCAGAAGCAGAATAGGAAATAGTAAGACAAAGAAATTAAACATGTAAGAACATACAGCTAAATCTACTTTACATCAAAATTATTCATTACACCTCTCCATGCCTATCTTAATTTCCATCAAAACCAGTTTTATATAGACCCTTTTCTTTAAATTTCTTTCTTTCCAAAGAGCTCCTTAATTCCATACAACCACAAATTTCACCAGTCTTCACCATCCTATCACTCTCCCTTCATAAATTTCATTTATGATTCACTCTTCATTTGTTCTTTTTTTCTATAGCTCAACTAAGCCATTTCAATTTCTTTCACGTCACTCTCTTTTCTATTCAATTTTATATCAACTCTCACTTCCACAGGGATGAGAAGTATCTTGCAACTGAATGACTTGCTAAGAATAAAGCAACCATAAATGGCCATTTCCTACTTGTGCTGATCGATAGAGGGAAACAGTTAAGTGCAATTTATCTTCGCTTTGTTGATCTCCAAATGCTGACACTTTCTTCAATCACATTGACTTTCTAACAAATGTGCTTAAGTTTCAGTACATTAGCAATGCAGCATTACTGAAATAATATTTATATATTTTACTTATTGCCGTTTATAGTTAAAATTCAGGTTATGATGAACTACAAGAATTATTCCACATAAATATAAATAATTAATAATTTAAAAAATGCCATATTGCTATTTGTTTAAGTTCCAACTTATGTCGGCTCTGTACAATTCCTCTCAGTACTAGTCAAATGAAATAAATAGGCAAATGAAACAAAATTACCTGGCTGGTAAGAGCTCCCTGAATAATTATTTTCTGGAGCTCCCATTCTTTCTGCCTCTCTTGTATTGCTGCCAATCTTCTCTTGTTGTCCTGTAGTTGCATTCCCATGTTGTCCGATTTCTTTGTTTTTCTGGGAGAAACTGAGTAGCTGCCTTCATTTTTTGGAGAGTCATTTAAATTTTTATTGTGTATAAGATTGGAAGTTGTTGGTCCCTTGGAAAGAGACTTCCCCTGTTGGGCGGGTTCCCTTTCAGAGATAAGACTAATATCGTGGCTTATTTTCTCTGCTTTTCCAATACTGTCTGGGAGGTGGTCAGAATGCTCACTTGAGTTTCCAGAAAGACTTCCTTTAGGAATGTCCAAGTCCAAGCCTTTCAAGGATGGTGGTTTGGAGTTAAGTTTCTTACTCGCAGAACTTGAGTATTTCACTTCTGTAATACTTTTTCTAGACTCCACTTCAAGTTCAAAAGAAGAGTGTTTCTTTTCACTCACATTTACATTCAATTCGCTCTCAGGCAGTACTTTGACAAGGGACCCCAGTCCCTTGAAAGGTTGAATATTCACTTTTTCCTCTTTTTGTTTCAAATCATCTTTGTCAGATCTCTCTTCTTTTAAAATGGCAGCAAGTATTTCTTCAGGGCAAATACATTTTTTGGAAGTGGTGGTAATTGTGGGGATCTCTGGGGCAGTACCAGTGTTCCTACCTGAGTAATAGTTAGTTTGTGGTTGAATGGCCCTTTGAATTATTCCATTGTCTTCCTCTGAATCTTCACTACTTTCTCCAGCTAATTTCTCTAAATCTTCTAAGGTAAGATCTAATCGGAAGCCATTTTGCATCATGGATTCGTAATCGTCATCCCCTTCAGATTCACTTGTGTCTGAACATGAACCTGAGTTTTCCTCACTCTCAGATCTGCATCTGTCAAGAAGAGCTTGTGCATCTGATGGTTTTTTGGACTCTGCTCTTTTTTTTCCTCCCACTTTGGATCCCTTTGAACCAGAAGATGGAGAACTTGCAACCTGGATGGTTCTTTCTGGCTGGCCATCATTCTGTTTTTCTGTTTCCTTAGAGCCTTCTAGAGATTCATATCTCTCTTTTTCATCAGATAATTTAGTCACAGCTATAATTTCATCAGTGTCAGCTGAATCATAATCAGATTCATTTTCTGCAGGTCTTATTAGTCCATGGCATGCTTGGGCTATATGCTTGTTTGCTTTCTGTAGGGACCAATGAGTACTGTATTTCAGCTTAAAGTTATCACCAACAACTTCCATATTATCTTCAGGTGCAATAATAGAATTACCTTTCTGCTTTTTTCTCTCACTTGCTTCAATTGCTCTGATTTCTTCTTCTGAATCTATATCATCATTACACAGGCTTTTTATATGCCTAGAACATATGGTTCCAGATATTAGCTTTGGACCCGAAGAGTGCTGATTAGGTTGCTTCCTGGAGTTAGAGGTGCGGTTCTGAATTAGTTTTGCAGGGACGACATTTGCTGGGTTTGAGTTGACTTTGCTTAGGCTGTCACTGTTCTGTATTTTCGTTTTCTTGTTTGGTGGTGGCTTCTTAGCTTCAGGGAATTGTCCTTGCCGTTTCTTGCTCATGATACTGTCAGCTTCTTGCAGATGCCAAGTGAGCTGCGAAATGGGAACTGCATCCATAGGTTCTTGATCTAGTTTTTTAAGGTTCTGGCAATATTTGGAAGGGTCATATTTTATTATGTTGATTTTTGAATTAAGGAAAATCTAAATACCATTGTACAAGTAAAAGTTCAGATGTTCTAGAGTGGTTTTTAAAAAAAATAAAAGACAAAGCATTTTTAAAAATGAAATCCTATAGAGGTAGTGCTCTACTTACAAGAGTTCATTTAGTGACCATTCAAAGTTACAATGGCACTGAAAAAGGAACTTACGACATTTTTCACACTTAACAACGGTTGCAGCACCCCCATTTTACATGACCAAAATTCAAAATGCTTGGCAACTGGCTCATATTTACAATGGTTGCAGTGTCTTGGAATCATGTGATCTCCTTTTGTGACTGTGACAAGCAGTCAATGGGGAAGCCAGATTCTATCAACTATATTATTAACTTAACAATTGCAGTCATTCACTTAACAATTGTGGCTTAACTTTTTGAATGCAGATGATTACAAAAGTCAATAAAGCACACTCATCTTGGTCTGTCATAAAGAACTTTTTTTTTTAAAAAAAGTTGAGAAATATTCAGCATGAAAATGTGAGAATTAGCTTTTGGACAGTGAAAAACTATATGATATCAAAACTGATGGTTTCAAAAACAAAAGATGAATGAACAATCCAGAAAAGAGAGTACTAAGCAGCTTATGACATTGGGTGAAAAGGAGAAGGAAATGCCAGAATTTCTGAGTACTGCTTCTATCTAAAGGACGTGTTCTTGAATCATTGCAGCTGATAGCATTCTTTGATATGACTTCCTATTTTCTTCAATAATATTACTTATGTCATTTTTATTTCTTATCAATTTCATAGTAAATCTAAATGTTAATTCACTGTGTGTGGAGTGAAGTTTGACAGAACTATTTATGTCTTTTCATAAATTTCTATTGCTACTCAACAGATATTTCATTTGATTATACTTGTCTGGCATTTTTTCTTACATGGACAGCAAGATAGTGCTCCTGAAATACTATTATTTAGAGAATATTAGGTAGTAAAAGCTTGCAGAAAAGGATATTTTGCTTTTGTGTTGATCTTTCAGGTGAAGAATAGGTAAAACTCTGCCAAATTTACTAACCACCCAGTCCTATAAAAACAAATAAAATAAGTATTATTTTTGGGAATGTTGCAATAAACTTTTACAAAACTATTTTCACACTAGTTTTAAAGTTTTCAATAACATTTGCAAAACAACTTTACAGAAAGAAAGTATTTAAGCAATGTAGCAATTTTAATTTTTTTAAGCTAAGCAATACAAATTTGAATTTAGCCCATTAGTGTGGAGGAACAATATATTGCATTTCTTTCTTTTATATTTACCATACCTTATGATTTGGTATTTCGGTTCCTGGTACTGCCTTCACATGAAAATCTACAATTCCAGATTTCTTCAGAGATTTTTGAATATCTGTCATACCATTATAATCTGTTTTTTCTTTTGTCACACTCGCCTCTTGGCGCTCCCGTGCTAGTCTGCATCACAAACATGATTGCAGTTTAGTACTAATTAAACAGAGTGAGAAAGCAAAAATATGAGTGAAAAGTTCTTTCATATTTCCATAGTAATCCTTTCAACTTTACAACATTACATGTCTTAGCAGTGGATAGGAGGTAGATCGGGACCTACTGGTGCAATATGCAAAAATTATCAAGAGGCTCTGTCTTCTATAATTGTAAGAATAAGAGCTGTGTCAGTTCACAATAAAGCTCACTCCCATTCTGCATTCCCTAAATGAGGTTGCTAAAAATAAAATAGATTTCTTTGGGAGTGCAAGTGCAAGTTTCATTCCACAATTAAACAGAGAAATGAGAAAGATTTTCTCAATTCTCAATTCATAGTATATAATTTCCACTGCATTTTGCACTGTATTTGGACTCTTCTCTCTATTGTAATCTTGCAAGCTTCATTTCATGCAAATTCCTTCCTTCCACACAAATGAATGGTTTCACCCAGCTTAATGGTTCTATTTAGGCAAGTTCACAAATAATCCAAGAATTTCAGATATATAAGCTAAAACCAGAGAATTTCAGCAACTGCTGTGTTTTACAAACAGGTTCTATAGATACTGTGTTTCTCATATAATAAGGCCGGGTCTTATTTTTTTTTGAGCCCCGAAAAAATGGCTAGGCTGTCTTTTCGGGGGTGACTTAATTCCCCCCCCTTGCATCTTTGGGCGGGTGGGTGGCGATGGCTTGGATGTTGACCTCGGCGTTGGTGGAGCACTTCGTATCGGGGTCAACGCAGGCAGCACCATATCCGGGTGTGCAACAAAAGTACTTCCTAACGGCAAGCCCCCCCACCATTCCCCCCCATTTCGCATGTTTTAATATAGGCCATAATTTGGGGGGAGGGGCTTAATTTCATTTCATGCCTATAAAACATGCTGGGACTTCCTATTGGGGGAGGCCGTATTGTTGGAGAAACAGGGTAGCAATAATATTCCAAATGGAACATCTTCTCTTTCTCACTCTGTGTTAACAGGCTCAATTTTGAATCAGTCCTTTGTTTTGCAGTAGTCAGATTTGCTATCATGTTTTCACTTCTCAGTATGAGAAGCACCTCTCCCATTAAATATCTCCAATGTCACTCATACAGCATTCACTATATTTTTCTAATGTTTTGTTAAAACCCAATGTAAAATCTAATACCATACTGAGAACTTTAACCAGACAAGCAAGTCTTCTCTTCCATTCTTCAGTTCTCCATGATGCCTCCAAATCTGTTTCAAAGAATTGAGGGAGACTCAATACGAGATTGAGAGATAAATGTAGGATTACTGGGAGTAACTGCTTCCATCCTGTTTCCTGCCACTAATGGAAACATACAATTGGATTCTGCCTGAATTATTTATAAATATGAAATTATATCTTTCTGTGAAAATCTTTATTTCCTCATATGTATGCTTTTTTCATCAGAAACTCTATACAACATGCTAAGGACTACCTGTGTAAGAAGCTCTCTTTTGCTAATTCGATTTGTAGTGTTCCACCTTTCCATTTTGTCTTATTTAAAACCGATATACCTTTAAAGACAAAAATAAAAAATAAACTGCTCATTATTAAAACATTATAAACCACAAATTCTAAGAGGCCTCAAAGAGAAGAACAAGGACCAGTGTGATATAGCAGTCATTTGGGAAATATGGTGCTAGACTCAATCTCATGGGACATTTTCTCATTTGGAGAATGGGAAAAGAGAACGCCTAGCATGGTAAGAAGAAAATATTTCAGATTTTGACAGACAACTGCTTAAGCATGCTTGGAAAGCTGATATCCATAAAGAAGGAGTAGGGTGGAACATGACCACATAAGAAAATATTCAATTAAATATTGGAGATGTTGCAGCAAACAGTATGTTAGAGTAATGGTCCCCAACTTTTGCGGCTTAGTGGCCCAGTGGAGGGGGAACCTGGCTGTGCAGGCAGTGGACTGGCGTGCACGTAAATGCGCACACAGCTTGACTTGTGCAAGTTGAGCTGTGTACGCATTTGCAGGCACGCTGTCCCACGACTTGCTCAAGTCAATCGGTGCACACATGTGTGTTGGCCCATAATCCGCCTGGCTTGTTGCAAATAGGCCACAACTCGGGGGTTGGGGACTTCTGTGTTATTTGAAAGATATGTATATTAGACTCTCCTTCCCTTATCAACAGGATGCACATAAATACAGAAGGTGACTTGCACTAAAACTAAAGCTAAATTACTTACTGATTAAGAGTTCAACAATACAACTAAAAAAAATTGGTTGTGAACTTCATCAGACTTCTCCTGTCCACAGATTTTAGTATCATTAACCAGTTTTCATTCTTTCATTCCCAAGAACCAAAAACAGCATTCATAGTTTGTATACTTACATTTTTTAAGTTCTTTTTCCGAAAGGAGGATGTTAAGGTATGCAAATGTCTTGGTAGGGTTCCCTGTTTAAAAATAACAATCTGATTATTCAAAAATGAAAAAAAAAACCACCTGATTTTCAAATTGTTTAAAATAAATAAGTGATCACGGTCAAAAGGAAAACAGAAATACCATGTTTTTCGCACTATAAGACGCACCCCACCCCCCAAAAAAGTGGATGGAATTGCCTTTGAGTCTTACAGAGTGAATATTGTGGCAGGGTGGAGGTGGGGTGCAGCACCGCCAGTGGGGAACGCTGGAGCCTTCACTGCCAAGCAGCTGATTGGTGGTTGGATCGGCCTCCTGGAATACTGCCGATTAGCTGTTCTAGGCGGTAGGGGTCACCACCACTGCCACCTATTGCCTCTATTTGCTGCCAGCCCGTTTGCCGCTGCCTGTTCACCACAGATGGGCAGCTGTGATAGGCAGCGGCAATCCCCACTGCCTAGAACAGCTGATCGGTGGTATTCCGGGAAGCCGATCCAACTGCCAATCAGCTGCTCGGCAGTGAAGGCTCCAGCCTTCCCTGCCGGCGGCAGCAATTCAGCTCAGTTGACTGGTAGTGGGTGCAATGGAGCGGAGTCCTGACAAGCCACGTGCTGGGGCTGCAATAACCTGCTGAAGCTGATTAGGCTGTTTGCTGCAAGGACGCTAGCCAGATGAATACTGGCTGGATGCTGGGAGGCAGAGGCGGAATTTTTTTTTTCTTGTTTTCCTCCTCTAAAGCTAATGTGCATCTTATATGAGAAAAATATGTAACAGCAGAATTGAGCATACATTTTCTTATCAGTACATCTGATCAATAGAGCTTATTTCTGACTGCAACATAGGGCTGCCATTACAAAGCGGATAACATTATTTTTAAGCAATTTTAAAGCATTACCATGCTCATCCTTCCGGCTAATGATTTCAGTCTCTGTAACATTTCCAAACTTGCTAAATCTTTCATACAGTTCATCTTCAGAAACTGAATGGCCAAGTCCTCCAATGTACAGTCGTCTGACGAATGAGATTTGTTCCATTTTCAACAATTCAACAAATGTCCAAAGTACTATCCTTTCAGCTACAACTTTTCTGCAAAATGACAAGTGCATAGCAACAACAAAATATTTTCAACAATGTTAAGAGTTATTGTGGTACAAAATACCTTCAGGGCAGTCTAGTTCATAGAGTTTTGTAAGATCCCCACTTTAATATTTGTTGTTATGATAATTCTCTAACTCTTAACTATCTGTTAACAATGACTATGATAAACAACTTATAAACAACTTATTACTGATGATGTAGTCCTATTGTATCACTTTTGCACTACATTAACATACATACATTAACCACAATTCAGTGCTATACATATATACAGAAAGAATCAGAAACAAAATGCCAGCTTGTCCACTGTTTCTGTGTGTGACCAGGAAGAGAAAAGTCTATTCAGTATTGCTTTAACAGATTTCATTTACTGTTATGAATGAACTATATATAGGTTTTGGAACTTAAGTTAAAATAATGGAATGAGAACAGGAAAGAGGAGACATATACCCAGAGGTGGGATCTGACCAGTGTAACTACCGGTTTGGTGGTTTATGATTTGCGTAAATCGTCGTCAGCTTGCTGCCTAGACAACTGAGCAGTGCTGCGCACAGGTGCTCAGTGGTTAAAAAAGCACTTTTTTCCAACTTTTTCAACTGCAGCTGTGCTGCGCAAAGCAGCTGAAGTTGAAAAAGCAGGAAATAAAGGTCAGGTAAGAGCCTGGGCAGGCGGGTGGGCCAAAACAGCAGCAGACATTGAACCGGTTCTATGTCTGCTGCTCTTTAGAGCTACTGGTTCTACAGAGTCGGACAGAACCCGTAGAATCCCACCCCTGCATATACCCTAAGGACAGCCACAACTCAAGCTAAGAAGAAGGAGGCTGAGGCATTAAAAGTACAGTTTTTGATTATCATTCACATAAAGAGAAGAAATTGACTCTTTTTAATATCAATTTTAATGCAAATATTATGTTAATGTTTTATCCTGTTGTTTTTGTTTGTAAGCCACCTGGAGTCGCCTTTACATGAGATGGGCAGCGTATGGATATATAAATAAAAAGTAAATAAAAAGCATCCTAGTATTGAAGCAAAATTCTAAAACAGAGTAATTAGCTCAACCTATTCAAATTTCCAACAGCTTAAAATTTTAGCAGAAGTCATCAATGAGGGGTTTTTGGTGCTCTCTGAGCTTGTTTATTTTCTTGCGGACGTTTCATTTACCCAAGCACTGATGATGTTACCTAGCTAGGTAATGAAACATCTACAAGAAAACAAGCAAGCTCAGAGAGCACCAAGGACCCCTCATTTCAATCCTGAGATACAAATACTCTCCTTTAGAAATCATCAACCCTGCTCTGAAGCATCTTTTCAACACTGAGTCCTTCAAGTTTTAAAATAATCAAGAAAGTCCACAGCCGCAACCTCAACCAGACAGAAGCCTGCTGATGTCCGGTTTATTTTTCTTATATGTATCCATTTCATGTATCCATAACTATGTTTATACTTATACCTGTTATCTTATAATCGCTTGACAAAATAAATAATAAATAAATAAATAAATGCTGCCTTTATAAGCTGGAACGATCCCACTCGGACTATTTAGAAGCTCACCTCTTAAGTTTAAAACTCTGCAAGTTATCTATCGGCTACCAGATCCGAACTGTTCAAGATCCGGGCGACTCTCAAGAGGTAGCATAGAAGAGAACTAGGACTCGCTCTCCCTGCCGTTATCTCGCGGTCGCCGGGATTTTTGCATTTCAGATCTGCTAACCTTGCCTTGCATTTGCTCAGGGAGCGATGCCTGAACATCACGTTGGAAACTGGGCACCACCAACCCTCATTGTAACTCACCACTAAACGCAACGGACTTACTGGCGTGTAAGAACCACGTCCAGCTACACACCTCGCACTTCGACGCGCGGCTCTTCGGAATCGCCCCGCGACCTAGTGCGGCGCGCGACGCCAAGCGTGGCCACAATTGTTGCTCGTCGCCTGCTTTTTTTCTTTTCTTCTTCCTCCACTCCCTCACCACTTCCGCCAGACTACCTGGGGAATTCTGGGAGTTGAAGTTCACGTATCTTAAGGTTGAGAAACATTAGCTTAATTTATCCTAAGTGGCTATTCTATTAGGTTTCTCCTGAAAAAGACGCAAGACAGAGAAACGCTGAAGTGTTAATAGACAGCGGCGATAAGTTCAGGTAGGCGCGATACGCTTCTCCACCCAACCCGGGGTCTCTAATCTATACAAACGCGTGGATCTGTGAGCAATTTTATAATTTTAAGCGGAAATTCGGATGTTAAGTCTCTCTATCCTAGTTTGAAGCTCTATGTTCTCCTTTTCCTAGTCGGATCCTCCTCCCTCCCAGCACAAGTTGGATCGAACTATCGAATGGCGCTAAAACGGGAGAGACGGAAGTGGAGTAAAGAGTTTGTAGGCACATCATTCTGCACTGCAGAAATGTTTTGTTGCTGAGTAGTGTAAAACCTAATGTAAATTGACTGAGATCGGAGAAGACCTGCAACCGGTTCAGTATCGAAACCTCTCTTGTCTTTCTCCGTCTCCTCTCCCCCCCTATTCTGCAGAATGGTAGCGCCCGAGACGGCTTTCTTTGGCGGCTCGTTCGAAGTGGTGCAGGAGGTAGAGTGTGGTTTTCGCTTAGTTTGGTCGGCGGGCTCAGAAGACGACCAGTGGGATCTGGTTCGGGCAAAGGTACTGTAGTCTTGTGAGCATCATCACGCTGCGCGTTGTTTTGCTTCCAGGACTTTCCTCACATAATACAGAGACCTCGGAGTGTTTTTTCTCTTCCTCCTCTTTCCCTCCCAAAACTCCCAATTGTTTCTTCCTGAGGATTCCCAGGCTTAGGCGACTAGGTTACTGGCATCACATCTCGGACTGTTTTTGAAAAGTCTGCCTGTCAAAACTGGGCAGCAGTCGTGGAGTTAGAAGCCGTGGTCCAACAAACACAGACTACCCTACTGAATTAGGAGGGTTTTTTTTTGTTGGAGCCTAAGTAAATAAATATACTGGTAACAATTTTAATGTAAATTGTTGTAAGTGTAATTTTCTTGTGTGTGTGTGTGTGTGTACACACGTCCTAAATTTGCTTCAGATAAGGCAAAAACTATTTTGCATTAGATTTATGGTATTGTTATAATTTCAGTAGTATTTCAATGACAGCTTTCCACAACATCTCCCAAGAAAGCAAATAATAATGCTTCTTTATTTTCATTGGACTGATGGAGACAAACTGAAATCTTTAAGTTACGAACAGGGGAGAAAAAAAGTTGCCCAACTGCTGTATTTATATTAGTTTTTTCTCTTTAGGAAGATAAGTGCCTGAAAAAATGAATAGCAATGAATTTCAGGCCTGCGAAGATGAAATTAAATCTTTGGAAGAAGAAATTAAAATGCTAACAGAAGAATATGAACATAGTCAACACCAGTCAGTGACATATACTGAAGCAGAAATAATGGAGATCATGTAGGTAATTTTTTGTTTGTTTATTTAAATAATGTACATGGATACCCATCTCTGAAGCAGACTACAAAGATTAAGACACAACAATGAAAGCAATAAGGTGTTATATGACACCTTTCAATGATAAAAAAAATATGGCTAATATGGCTAGCCTACTCTCCTGACTGAAATACCTGGGAAACAGCAAGGTCTGCAGAGTTTTACAAAAAGCCAATTGGGTCAAATCCATTTGGATCTGGGAGGGAATGTTGTTGTCCAAGGCAGGTGCTACCATGTATTTGGCTTGCAATTACTAAGAATTTTCCTTTGGTTATTACACTAAAATCTTTGTGTTCAAAATATGTTGTATATAATTATGTTCAATAAGCTGAGAAATTCTACAAGATTTTATTAAATTGTATTAGTCAATATAAAAATACAATTTTCTATAAAGACTTCTGCATAGAAAACCTCATGCCTTTTGCATAAAAGGGTCCATCCCCGAAATACAAGGAGTCTTAAATTTTGGATTTTGGAACATTAAAAATTAAAGCATAATAGCATAAGAGTTATGTAATGTTTAGATATAAGAAGTTGACCAAAATACCTAATGATATGAAACTACTAAGTTGGTTTCCTAAATCAGTGTAGGACAAAACCCATAGTACAATTTTTATTCAACTTCAAGTTCTCTGAAGAATCCATATTTAGAGAGACCAAATCTCTAATGGGTTAAAACAACTTTAGTAAGAATTTAAATAGAGGATTCCATTTCTCAACCTTAATTAAATCCACAGAGAGCCTCATTTAGTACATCTGCATTAGTGTTCCCAAAATTTTGAATTGAGTAATCTCATTTGGTGAAATTGATAGATGAGTTCATTATATTCTGCATAGGGGTTTTGTCCTCCACTATCTCAACTGGAAGATACTTGACCTCTCAAAAATATATAAAGAGAATAATTGTATTCGTTGAAAGAAGTGTAAGTTGCATTGTGCATCATCTACTTGTAACATATAAAATAAATTTCTTATTCTGTCCTAGATTCATTCATATTAGATATTTCTTTGATTTCCCCAGACAGATTAAAAAACCTATGGAGAAATAAAAATGTTTGTTAATTAACATAATTTCTATGCCAATATACTAGAGGTTTCTCATTTAGATCTAGCTGATAAAAGTTTTTTCTTACTGTAGGAAATTACTTAGAAGAAAACCTGAAGAAGAACTGAAGCAATCCAAATCTTCTCCAGATCAGGAAACTCAACTCCATTTGTTAGAAGCTGATCTCTCGTTTATAATGAAATTTACAGGCATTTTCTTTACACATTATTCACGTAAACTTGTGGAAAAAAGTAGGTATTTTAATGATTGTCACAGTATTATATACTTTTTTCACACTTCATACATTATTTTGATTAAACATTGTATATCTAATCTCAAAAATTGATATTGCCATATTTTAATAAAATTATTAACTGTTATTCAGTACCTAAGACAGAGAAAGTGTTACATTTCAAATTTGGCTAGTCCTATCAACCAAAGATTATCAAACTGGTCAATCAAATCTCAGTAATCAAGACAATTACTTCATATCTACCTTTACTTCATAGTACCAAAATTGGACTAAAATTGGATATAATTGATAAAGACATTCTTTGAATAAAAAACATATTAAAAGGATCCCAAAAACTATTCTAATATACAAATTTAAGATATTGATATTGTTATTCTAGTTTAAGTGACCCACAGTTTATTATGGTTTCAAAATCAAAACAATCTCAAGTATGGTTTGTTGAAAGCTGACTTATAATAAATCCTAATTAAATAACTATGGTTCTGAAATCAGATGAATTCAGTTTCATCTGCCAAGGTGATGCAAGCATGCTCTGTACCATTTCTCAGCCAAAAGTCCAATTGAAATGGGTGCAGTTAATCAACATTACTGAAGTAGCTGCGGAGTTTTGAGACCACTATCAGTTTTATCTTTCCCAGGAAACAGAATATTTAAAACAAAGCTCTGTTGTATCCTTTTTTGTCAGGCAGGCTTATTTGGATTTTTGACAACATGTTTACTAAAGGGACTTCACCTAATTCACAGAATAGCTTATGGTAGGTGTGGCCAGTTACATTTACAGAAGGCAAATCTGTGAGGTTGCTTCTGCCTACCGCCACTAGTGTTCTCTACCAGTGAACTTTGTATTTTTTTTGAGCAAGCAGACATGTTTCCAGACAAAGTAGTGGAATAGAGCTATATATCATTTTCATTTTCTAAGATGCCAGAGGCACTTTGTAAAGTTGCTGGAGGTTATAGTTTGCAACCTGAAAACTTTCCTATTTTAAATTAAAAAAACCTTTAAAAAATCCCGCCAGCCCAGAGTCACTACACTATTTATATTTTAGACAGACTGCTGCATTAATGAACTGACTATGTATCTTATATTAAATAGGGTTAGCTTTTAAAAGTTATTGATTAATAAAGAACACATTATTGAAGGATTATACAGCTGATTAATTTATGTATTTTAATATTTCTTCATTATAGATGGATCTAAAACTATTCAAACTTATAAGATGTCAGGAAAGTGTCAGTCAATCTCATTTCAGTTGGAGTTTAAACTCACGGAAGAAAGTCAGGTAATGGAAGATGTTTTTAAAATAAACTAGAGCATTTCACTAAGCTTCAATAATTAGCATACACAAACTGAATTTGTGACATTTCTTGTGAAACTATCCATGGTTCTTGGTGTAATTTTGATACATTAATTTAATTTTCTAAAAAGGTTAGTAATTTTATGCTGATGAATATGTATTAAAATATTGCTTTTCTGTACTAATGTGTAAGTTTTGGATACCACATACTTTATTCCAAACTTCATACTTTATATTTGATTGACAATTAATACTGTTTACATAGGATTAATGTAAGCCAAATCTTCATGTGGTTAAATACATAGCAGTTGAAGAAGAAAGAGGAAAATGAAGACATAAATTTCCTAATTATCTTAACTCTTTAATTTTTCAAACAGTTATCTTGACAGGAAAAAATTAATAGAAGAAACAGAACCTGAAATTCTGCACAAAAATGAATCCCAATAAAATTAAATAAATACAATTTTGCCAAAACTTACAGCTTAAATGTATTTTGTATGTTTTGGAATCAACACAAAAATAAATTCTAGTAAATAATAGTAAATAATATTCTAGTAATAAATTCTTCAGTTAGAAATGTATTCTTATGCTTGATTTCTTAGAAATGAGTTAAATTGATAAGCAAGAACTAAATCTAAATTGCCAGTAGGTGGCATTTCTTCTTAAGCTTGCAAAGCTACCTTCAGTAGTGGCAGCATGATCCCAGGAAAAGATATGTTTGGATTACAGAGTTGCCAGTAGGAATTGTTTGCACACTTGTAATCCAACATCCTTTTTCCTTTGAATCTGAAGCATTACCCAGGTTCCAATATGTATCTACAGTTACATAAACATCTTTGAAATGTTTTGGTATTTCCTTTTCTTCTGTTTCCTGTTTTTTTTCTAAAGGAGCCACTTGTTTTAATTTTTAATTGCATTAGTTTTTTAAAACTTTGGAATGGAATATTATACATAATAAAAGCTTTGAACTGCTTTGAAGATACATACAGACAGTCATTGATAATTCTAAGTCAAATCACCACGTGACCAAACCCAATTTCACAACCATTTTTGTAGCACATCATAATCATGTGAGTGCAAGATGCTGCAGCTGGTCATGAATGCAAACTGATTGCCAAGCACATAAATTGCAAATGTGACCATGGGGATGATGCAAGTCATAAGTACAAGTACAAGTCAAAACATTTTTTGAGTCTGTCATAACTTTGCATTGTTATTAAACAGTCATAAGTTGAGGACTTCCTGTATATAAAACAAGTGAAATAGTCTGGTAATTTGCTCCTTCAATCATAAGATGATATCTCAATATTAGCTATTGTAGTCAAATGTCTATATCTAAAATATTGTACCATTAATAGGAACACTTTCACACAGCATAACTTTGAAAACAAAAGCATTATATTTGTTTTTGGTTTAGTATGCTGTAAATTCAATCATAGCGGATCTAAAAAATGACTTATTATTTATAGCTTAGCACAAGGATTTTGAATCTAAGCCATTGTCCTGTTCTGCAAAGCTGATCCTGTATATGGAAAGCAAGTGACATGTACTGTTGTAGGCTTACGTTTTTCTTTACTGATCAACAGATGAACGTGTGGACAAGAGGAGTTTTCTGATAGAGTCCTCAGTGCTTTCTTAATAAGATTGATCTTAGCAGCAATAATCCTGAGTTAATTGCCTGTTCTTGATGTTGTCTGGTAATTAGAAACTTGACAATATAAAATATGGCAATGACTAGTAAACATGCTGGATTCATAAATTAAATAGGCATTAGATTAAAAATAATTTAAAATATAAATGTTTAATACAATTCTTTGAAAATGCCATAGACTATCATATTTTGATGAAATAATAAAGTAGGATCCTGTTTGAGTTTAATATATTCCATAAAATAAACTTGGAGAAATTAAACTTGAGAATACAGTACACAAAATATCTAAATATGAATTCCAAAAATTGCATTATAAATTCACAATGTGCTTTTAATAATAAAAACAAAATTTCAGAAAAAAATATGCCCCCTTGCAAAACATGGTCAAATATTGGTTTCTACAAACATAATATAAGTTTAGTCACTTTCCTTCATGCACCTACTTTTTGGACCATCAGATATCAAATTTTAAAATTCCTTCAGTGGCGTGAAAATGTGTATGTTTGAGAATGCATAAATACAGCACAGTGGAGGTTGTTGATTGAGTAGTAACTGATCCCACTTCTCCCCTCTCTGCCCCTGCCTTCCCTTTGTGTTTTAATGTTGATTTTAATTGTTTATGTTTTAATTGTGTGTGTGTAAGTCTCTCACAGTTATCCTATGGGCAGCCAATAAATTTTATTTATAAACAAACAAACAAACAAACAAACAAAGAAGGGTGCATTCTCAGAAGCTCTTTGCTGCTACAATATGTCATAATCAACTTGACCATGCTATACCAATTGGCAGTTATTTTGGGGAACATTTAAATCTCAAACTCATTTGAAGTTTCTCATAACATTTATATTTAAATATTAAGTAAGCTGTGACTATTTGACAGATTTATTTATAAATGTGATTTGTTCTTCACTTTTTAACTTATAAATTTTCTTCCCCCAGATGAACAGAAATGCTTCCGCTATAGTAACTGACCTTAATATTATAACATTATGTGACACACACTGTGATTTAAGCAAGCTTGTTTCAAGGTAAGATTTCAATTACTAGACGTGTTGGTACCGGAGGAGTAGGTGGGGATAATCATAGGAAAATTATGTTATTATGGGAGAAAGAGATTTAAATTTCTTGCATGCACTGAAAAGCAGTGGTTGGCAGTTACTTTTTATTTATAAGATTTATTAAGCCAGGTCTCTGGGCAATATACAAAAAAAATATACAAAAAAGTGACAGAATTAGAAACGTAGCAATCAAACATCAACCAAATCTTTTTAGGAATATATTATAGTCCTCTTCCTCTTTTTGAGGCAATCATTGAATTTTCATCCATTTAGTGGTGGATAAGATTTGCTTCATAATGGTCTATGATGAAAAGCCAACTGAAGAGTAGACTTAGTTTGATCATGCCAGTCTTTAGATATTAATCATGATATCTACTTTTTGCTTTTGTTCCTTACATTCTGCACTGTTCTTCTCTTTTTCCCTTTCTTTCAGCTTTTCACAGAAGTTAGAGATTAAGCAAATCTTAGTATAGTTGAACATGTTAACAGGTTCTTTCATTCTAGAGTTATATATTTGTAATCAACATATTTCTCTTTGTTCCTCCTTTTCCCTATGACTTTTTTATCATATTTTTAAAGGGGAATATTTGTAGCTTAGGGTTAACATGAGTGATCCTTGGTGCTCTTTGAGCTTGTTGTCCTGTAGACATTTCATTACCCAAACTAGGTAACATAATCAGTACTAGTAAGAAGTGCTGTTTGATGTCAGTTTATATTCTATAGTGGCTTGCCTGTCAGTGTTGCTGGGGGTGGTATTAGAGATTCTTTGGTTGGGCTGTTTGCTGTTAGCTTCTTTGGCAGTTTCTTTTTTTATATAAATTTTATTGTTTTTTAAGACAAACATAGACAAACAAAACATAAAAACATCAAGCCATCTTCCATATATATACATACAGTGTGTCGGTTGGTTTACAAATTGTTTTGTGCTTCCACTTCGTAGTCTTCAATTACAATTACATTGTATATATTCTCATATTGTTAATCAAATAAAACACATTAATATCACTGTTAATCAATCATTTGACTATACTATTATTCATTCATGATTTACAAGATAATCCATATTTTACTTAATTTGTTTTATGACAGTTCATATTATCATCTCAAATCTATCCTACAATCATTTTGTAGATATAATAAAAAGAAAAAATACATCTTTATATATTCATTATTTTCTAAAAATCTACATATTTCATTACCATGTTTTATTGTCTAACCGTTGATAGAATAGATCCCAAATTTTATAAAATTGTTTATCATCTTGTTCTCTGATTTCAAATGTCAATCTACTCATTTCAGCACATTCCAATATTTTCTTAATAATTTCCTCCTGTGATGGTATTTTCTCATTTTTCCAGTTTTTAGCAAATACAACCTTAGCCGCTGTTAACACATTTACAGTCAGATATTTCAATTCTTTATTGTATATTTCAGGTAAAATTCCCACTAAAAATATCTCTGGTTTCAAGTCTATATGCTTTTTTGTCATTTTTTCCAACTACGTGTGGATTTTAGTCCAATATTTTTTGGCATCCGCACAAGTCCACCACATATGGTAATATGAGCCAGGTACCTGATGACATTTCCAACATTTTTCAGATTTGTTCTTGAACATTCTTGCTATTCTTGTCGGGGGGAAATGCCACCTGTAAAACATCTTATACAAATTTTCTTTATATGCTGTTGACATTGTCATTTTATAATTTTGAGACCACAATTTTTGCCATTTCTCTAGATCAATCCCATATCCAAAATTCTTCCCCCAAGCAATCATTGTTTGTTCTTCTTCTAATTTAATTTCTAATAAATATCCATACAATTTTTTAATCACCTTTTCCTCAGTACTTGTCAAAATCTTATCTAAATCAGTCAGTTTATCATAGAAACCTTCTGTTTTAGAATCTATATCATACCTTGAATGTATTTGTGCATATGAAAACCAATTCATCTTTATACCTTGTTCCTTTAATTTTTGTATAGATTTAAGTTCACCCTTTTCATTCAATATTTCACCATATCTGTTTGTTCCTTTTTGTATATTATAGGATAAGAAAATGCTTCAATCGTCAATAGCCAGACTGGAATTTTCAAATAACATTGTCTTTTAATCTTCTCCCAGTGTAACCACAGAGACTCCCGTATATAATGTCTTCTAAAATACCACTGTGTTTTAGTTCCTTTATACCATAAAAAAGCATGCCACCCCAGCAACAGATCATGTCCTTCTAATGTCAACAATCTAGCATTTCTTAATGTTATCCATTCCTTAACCCACATCAAATTTGTAGCTTGGTAGTACAACTCCCAATTTGGCAAACCAAATCCTCCTCTTATTCTAGCATCTTGCAAAAGTTTTAATTTTATTCTCGCTTTCTTATCTTGCCATATATATTTCAACACAATTTTATTTAAATCTTCAAAATAATCTTTTCCAAGCCTAACTGGAATTGTTTGGAACAAATATAAAATTCTGGGTAGTATATTCATCTTGATTGTTGATATTCTCCCTATTAATGACAGTTGTAAATTTTCCCATTTCGCCAAATCTAGCGCTATCTGCTGCTTAAGTTTAATATAGTTATTCTCTTTTAGTGTACTACATCTTGCTGTCAAATGTATCCCCAAGTACTTGATCTTATTCGTGACCTGGATTTTCAATACATCTGCCAGTTCTTCCTTTTGTCTTGATAACATATTCTTTATCAAAATCTTTGTTTTGTCTTTATTTATTTTCAAACCAGCCACCTTCCCATATACCTCTATCTTTTCTATCAATTTTAATGCTGTTTCTAGTGGGTCTTCTAAAATGAAAGCCAGATCATCTGCAAATGCTTGCAACTTAAATTCTTCCTTTTTAATTTTCATCCCTTTTATATCCTTTTCTTCTCTAATATTTCTGTTTAACACTTCCAAGGTTAACACAAACAACAAAGGTGACAGTGGGAACCCTTGTCTTGTTCCTTTTCTTATATCAATAGAGTATGTCAGTTCTCCCTCTATCATTACCTTTGCCGTTTGGTTATGATATATAGCTTCTATTGCATGAATAAATTTTTTACCAAAGCCCATCTGTTCCAGCTGTAATAACATGAATCGCCAATTCACATTATCAAATGCCTTCTGTGCATCTAAAAATATCAAAGCCATTTGTTTTTCAGGGTGTGCCTCGTAGTATTCCAAAGTGTCCAAGATTACTCTCATATTGTCTTTGTCTCTTTGGCAGAAATCCATTTTGATCAGGGTGAATAAAATTGTTTAGGTATTTTTTAAGTCTTTCTGTCAATATTGAAGCAAAAATTTTATAATCTGCGTTTAGTAAGGAAATAGATCTATAGTTCTTGATTTGTAATGGATCGGTCTCCTCTTTTGGGATAAGTGTAATATAAGCTTCTGACCATGATTTAGGTATCTTCTTTAACATAACTTCATTCATAAGTTCTAGTAATGGAAGGTTCAATGATTCTTGTAGTGTTTTGTAGAATTCTGCCAGAAGTCCATCTGGGCCTGGTGCCTTTCCATTGTTTTGCTTCTTAAGTGCCTCAGTTAGTTCCATCATCATTATATTGCTTTCTAACATTGTTTCAATCTCTTTAGGTATCTGGGGTAGATTAGCATTCTGTAAGTATCGTTTAACTCTTTCCTCGTCAATATTCTCTTGTGTATATAGTTTCCCATAATAGTCTCGTATAATTTCCTTCTTCTCTTTACTTCCATAGCAAACTTGGCCTTGATCATCTTTATCTTGATCATCATTAATTGCAATATTTTCCTTGATTCTTTCTCCTTTCTCAGTATATATGCTAACCATCTACCTGGTTTGTTTGCATCTTCAAAATAGTTCTGCTTCGCACCTCTGATTTTCTGTGCTAGTTCTTCTTTTTCCATTAGTCCCATTTTATGTTTAATTATATCCATTTTTAACTTAATGTCCTTTTCCTGTGGCATTTTCTGTAACTCTTTTTCAAGTCCTTTATACTCATCCTCTAATGTCTTAGAGGCTCGTCTTTTCATAGTATTTCTTTTCCTTGTATAGTCTATTATCAAGCCTCTAACATATGCCTTCATTGTATCCCATACATTCTGCGTTGATGTGTCTTTTTTTTTATTTTCTCTAAAGAAAAAAGGCAGTTCTTTCTCCATCCTCTGTATGAAGTCTTTTTCTTTTAGTATAGTATTATTTAACGTCCATCTAGATCTTCTTCTTTGTCCTTTCCATTTAATTGTCATTGGATTGTGGTCTGCCCAAGTACTTGTTTCAATATTTATTTCTTGGATATTAGCTAACAATTCTGTTGACATCCATATCATATCTATTCTGGACCATGATAAATGTCTGTTTGAATAGAAGGTGTATTGTTTAGTCTTAGCATTTCTTTCTCTCCATGTATCTTTTAAATTTATTTCATCTATCATTTTAAAAAAGGATTTAGAGAGAGTCTTTCTGTTTTGTTGTTTTCTGTGCTGCTATAGTCCAGTTTATTGTCTACAATTCCATTAAAGTCTCCCATCATAACCATATTAGCATAGTCCAATTCGATTATTTTCATATGCAGTTTTCTATAAAATTCTTCTTGATTGTCATTTGGAGCATAGATTGCAATCAAGAGTGTTTTCATATTATTGTCCATTATTTCCACCATTAATAATCTTCCATCGTCATCGGTATGGATCAATTTCGCTGGGATAATATCTTTAATGTATAAAAACCACTCCTCTTTTCTTGCATTGTGTCAAAGAAGTGAATATTTTTCCTAATTTTGGCTGTATCAATAGTTGTTCATGTTGCTTTTTAATATGTACTTCTTGTAGGCAGATTATATCAAATTTTAATTTCTCTAATTAATGGAAAGTTTTCCTTTTAACAGCTGAGTTAAATCCATTTATGTTAATTGTAATCAGTTTTTTCTCTTCCATGATTATATTTTATAGGTAGGTTTAGCAGCTCTAATAGATCTTGACTCACATTGTTCTTTAACCTCCACCTTTCTGCCTACTGCACCTTCTTCTTTTTCGGTCACTATTTGGCAGTCCTCCTGAAATTCGATTAGTGACACTTCTTTTTCTGTCTCCTCCTCTTGCCCTCCAAAATATTCTGTGTAAAATAATTCAGCTTTCTCAATTGAATCAATTCTATGTCTCTGTTCTTGCCATGTAAACATTAAACCTTCTGGAATCAGCCATCTATAATTCACCTCTTTTTTAAGTAGCATTTTAGTCAGAAATCGGTATTTTCTTCTCATCTCTCTCACTCTTCCAGGTACTTGTTTCAGGACCACAATCTCCTTATCTTTATATTTCAATGTTTTCTCTCTTGCCACTTGCAATATTTGCGTTTTAATGGCTTTCTTTGTAATTCTAATGTGAACTTCTCCTGGTAAGCTATTTCTCATTGCATATCTTGTGAAGACTCAATAAACCTCGCCTATTCCATCTATCATCTTCTCTTTGGTTATTTCCAAAGCTTCAGCCAAGATTTCTTTCATTATCTCAGCTAGGTTTTGTCCCTTTTCTTCCTCTATGTTTTGGAATCTGAGATATAATTCTGATCTGTCCATCTCCCATCTCAGCATCCCACTTTTATCTTGTTCAACCACAGTTAATCTGCTATCAATATCTCCAATCTTCTTATTTCTTTGTTTATCTTCTTCTTCAATTTTTTGGAATCTCTCATCATACTTCATCATCATTTGTTGAATGTTCTCCACCTTTTCATCAGTTTTTCCTGTTCTTTGTTCAATGTTCTCTGTTCCCTTTTCAATATTCTCTGTTCTTGTTTGTATATTTTGAATTCCTTGCATAATCATTTGCAGCATCACACTGCACCTTATTTAGTTATCCAAGGCTTTTGTTAAAATTTATAACTCTCTTCTCTATAGTCTTATCATCTTTTTTTTCTGTAAACTTCAACACCAGACTCCAGCTACTGATAGAAACCCAGAAGAGCACCTGCAATAATACTCTCCCATGCTCTTCCCTCTATCTTATCAAACAGGCTCAAAGTCCTTGAGAAGAAGTCTCAGATCTTTCTCAGCTTTGTCTGGTCAAGAGAAAAAAAAAGAGATACAATATTTCCAAGCCTCTAGTTGGCAGTGTTACAAAGTTTCTTCTGCTTTCACTTTCCCCCTCCTTTTCCAAACAAGATATAATAAAAATTAATTAAAAAGGGAAAAAGATATTTAAAAAGATGGCTAGAAGGGAGTCTCTAGCCTAAAATGTTATAAAGTCAAAAAGGAGAGAAAAAATAGGTAGAAAAAACCCAGTCCAGTTTCAAAATATAAAATCATATGTAAAAAGTCCAGCAAAGAAAAAAAAATTACTTTGACTTCCTGTTTAAAATTGCCGCTTAATCACTTCTGTCTAAAATTTTACAGATTCTTTCTTTTCCTTAGGGTATCCTTTCAAATCTTAAAGTAAAAAATAAAATTTTCACCAAACCGGCACACTTTCTCTTTCCGTTCCCTTCCGTTTCGGAGCTGTCCCAACTTCAGCAGCTTTAATGGCTGCCTCTTTGCTGCTGGCAAAAAGAGCTTCTCCTGGATCTACCAGGGACTTTGCGATATCCCTGGGATCGACAGGATGCGCTCTTTACATTCACCGTCTCTTTGGGACGGTTTAGATCCATTTGGACCGTCCAGGAGCAAAGATATCAGCAGCGATCTCAGACCTCCAAGATTGCATGCCGTATCATTGCGACGCCAGCAACGCCCTTCCAGCTTCTTTGGCAGTTTCTTGAATGGGGTATTTACTTGATTGTTGGTCTGAAGTTTATCTTGGAGTTAATCTATGCTGATCTGGGTGCTGATTGCTGGTGGAGAGGTGCTGGAGTCTTTGTTCCTTTTTGGGCTGGGTGATAGTCTTTTTTGCATAGAACATCAAGGATCCCTCATATCATATTTTTGCTTTAATACTCAACCATTTGGCTTTTGGTTTGTTACATTTTTAGTACAGTGACTTTAGACCAGGGGTGTTAAACTCGCGGACCACAGGCCAGATACGTCACGTGCTGGCCCTGCCCCTGCCTGGTTTAGCAATGGGGGGAAAAGTCCTGATATGTCATGTGATGCTGCCGTACAACGTGAGTTTGACACCCTTGCTTTAGACTGATCTTAAAATGCTCTGGAACACTTGTTCTTGCAGTAATTGCGGGTCCCATCCCTGAGGGAGATATACCTGTTGAGACCCAGAAGAAGGGCCTTCTCCATGGTGGCTCCCTCTCTGGACATCAATCTCCCAGAGATTAGAACGGCCCCCACCTAATACTCTTCCAGAAGGTGGTGAAGACCTGGTTCTGCCACTGAGCCTGGGGAACCCGGAGTGGGATGGAGCCCATTAAATGGCTCATGTGATCTGCTGTCACGGGCGGGGGGTGGGAATTGGAGGGTGATTTTGTTATATTGTACTATATTAATTTATTTGATTTTTTGTTAGTTTTTATTGTTTTAAATGTAGTTTTATATTCTGTAAGCTGCTTTGAGTTGCCATAGGCGAATAGGCGGCAATATAAATTGAATAAATAAATATTCAAATCATATTAATAATAATTCAATTATGCTGGTTTTGAATTACTGAACACAGCTATCTTCTCTTTTGTTGCTTTTTTTAAACATAATGTGTATTAATTGTCACCTGCTATTTTACCCTTAGGCCTGGAGTGGGTAATGTAATGATTAAATAACCATGTTGTTACAACACTATATAAAGTTTTTCTGTATCTTTTCAAAGTTCAATCGTTCGTTGTTTTATCTTTCCGGTAAATCAGGGAGACACAATATTGTTTCTTGTGTTTCAGAAAAAAGCATGTTTAGAAATACAGCATTCCTTAAGCCAAAATGTGGCCTGTTTGATTTTATAAAGCCAATAATTGTGGTTTATTAGTAAACTGTACAAAGCACGGCATGTAAATCCAATCACAGACCTGATTAAAATATCATGCTAAGTAATACTTTGTTTTAATAACTGTCTCTTGAAGAAACCAAAATCAGTATTTGTTAAGCAAATTAGTTTCCTTTGGAGGAAAGGAGTGGTTGGTAAAATTAGGGAGACAAAATTATATGTCTTTTGAACTAACTGTTGATTTAGTTTTTTTAGAGCTAACATATGGTGCTAATATGTCTTTGTTAGATATGTATAAAGTTTATTAATATTGCTGCAAACTACATAGATGTTCAGCAGAGAAAGGAGATAATTGAAAGCAAAATGATGGGAGTAAATACATTTCAATTTGATTATAAGATGAGAAACTATATAAATGTTTTAAATAAATAAAATTAATACATACAAACTAAGCCTCAACTTATCAAGATTTATTAAAGTAACACATGATCTTAAATAAAAAATTTACAACTTAAGGACACTGTTCAGCAATTTATGCAAAAATGTCTAATAGTTTTGTCACTTTTTATGCATTCAAGAGTTTGGAAAAATAATATGGACAAAAGTTATCCATGCAAAATACATATATAATATATATTAATATATATATTAATGCATTCTAGGGTTGAAGAAAATGGGAATCTCTGCCTGTTCTTCAGAAGTCTGACTTGTTTCTCTGAATGGTGCAAACATCGGGAGCGTGCTTTCACTCATTTTAAGGTAGTACTTTGGAAACAATTTTGGTGCATGAATTAGTGGAGTTAAATGAATGTGTAAATGACCCATTAATTTAATAGAGAGCATTTCAGTAATATATGTTTATGAAGATTGCAATGCTTCAAAATTATACTGTTTATAATTTCCTGGATAGAAGTGTGATTTTTTCTCTCTCCCAATGACTATACAAAACACCAGCTTGAGGACTGTGTTAAAAAGAATGCCAGAAAGTTTATCTCATCCAGTATAGACTGTAAAATAATATTTTGGCAAACCCACAGTTTTAGATATGTTGTATATTTATTTATTATATAGCTGGACTATCATCATCAGATCAACTCTGGGTATTATATAAAACAATTTAAAATAACCAAGTAATAAAAATCTAAGTATAAAATAATAATAAAATAAAATAATGTAACAATAAAATCACAATCACAAGATACAACTGTGGCATCAACATAGCAGAATAGCAGAGATACATCTCAGAATTTTTTAATGGAAAAAACTGTATCTTTATACTACTATAGAAGGATTGCAGAACAGTTGCCAACCAGACCTGTATTCACATATCTCACTAAGTAAAAATAATTCATCAATTCACTTATATAGATACGTTTCTGGTTAGTAATAATCTCGCCTCAGATAAACCTTATTGGCTATTGCAGGGGTCACCAACCTTTTGGAACTCAGGGAGCATCAAACTCATAATTTTAAATCCTGCAGACCAGAGACCCTGGGAAAATCCCCAAAAAAATCTGCAGGAAAATTTCCCACCCTGTTTTCCTACCAATCAATCATTCTTTATTTGGGATCGCAGGATACCATCTCCAGATCCATTCTCGGGGAGAGAGAGAGACTTTTGGCTTCATGCAAGGAAAGCAGCAGAAGCAGTAGAAGTCTTTCTTTCTCTGCCCCAAACTCCGCCAGCAATTAGTCTTTGTGAGACTTGTCGCATGGGCACAGCCTCTTGAAGCAGGATGCCTTGCAGGGTCCCAAAGACTCATTTCTGGCGAAGTTTGGGGGAGAGAAAGAAAGACTTTTGCTGCTTTCCTTGCATGCAGCCACAAGCACAAGAAGAAAAAAGCAGAAAGAAGCAGCCCAGTGGCCAGGCAAGGCACAAGGGGCGAGTGGGCAAGTTCTCCCCTTTGGCCCTTTCTCCCCTCCTCTCACTACCTTGTGTTGTTTGCAATGCGACGCAAGCCTTGTGTCCCCGCGGGGCCATGTGAGCAGTGCAGCCTTGTGTTCCTGCAGCCTGGATTAATTGTTATGGGGGGTGCTTTGGGGTGACTTTTCTCTGCGGACCACCAAAATTTTCTCACGTACCGCCAGTGGTCCCCAGCCCACTGGTTGGCAGTCACTGAGCTATTGTATTGCCACTTCAACTAAATAATAGTTGCCTTATGAATTTCTGGACGAAGAACATTCTGAGTGTAGATGCCACCACTCAAAAAAAAACCCTATCTTGAGTAATTACTGTACAAGATGACTCTTGTAGTGTGTCACTCTTGGTAAACACAATAAGACTTCTGATAAGTTTAATGTTTTAATAATTACAGGTCATTTAACTGTACAAAATTATAATTACAGATTAGTTCTGTGACTGTATAGGCAGTTTCTGCCGTATTCTGGTCCCAAGTTGTTTAGGGCCTTACATGTCAAAAACATACTCTGGAACAGGACTCAGTACTGTAGCTAATTAGAAGCCAGCTTAGTTGTATCACCAGAGGTGTTACTATATTAATAAATAAATTCAATTTTCAATAGATCATATGCAAAAGGTATTTGTATTATTGCAGCCTAAATATGAAATCAATGGGTGTAGAAATCTGTTGCTAGTCTATTTCTGTCAGATTTAATTTTGCCAAAATAAAAATGTGATTAATTATGTGTCATTAGGTTGGTGTCATTTCTTAAGAACCACATAGACAAACCTTCTCCAGGATGACTTAGATTTTCAAACCTTTCAGTGGTGCTTCTATGGCTGCTGTAATCAAGTCCATTTGCCTTGTTGCTCATTACCTTCTTGTCTTCCTTCCATCTTTCCCAGAGTTACAGATTCTCAAGAGAGTTAGGTGTTTACATAATGTGCTCAAAATATGGTAATATGAGTCTGGTCCTATGTACCTTGAGTGAAAACTCTGGATTGTTCTGTGATCCATTTATTAATTTTCTTGGTTATCCACAGTATACTCAAGAGCATCCAATTGTTGCTTGGAATATCAGAGTGATTAATATGAAAATATCCTATAGATTATAGAATCACCATAGAAGGAACGGTAGGAAGAGTGGGGAATCATGTGATTTCAGTTGAATGAAGGCAGGAAAGAAGATTAAAATATAGCCTAATACTGTTGATGGTAGGAAGAATACAAATAGACTGATTCGCTCAGGTGTTATGGCAGGTAGGGGGTAGGAGAAACAAGGAAACTACAGCAATTTATCATTTTACTGTCTGTGATATATAAGACATCTACAAAAGAACAGTAAGCCTTTTTTCTTTATAATTATTTATTAGGCATGGAGAATTCTAGACAACAGGAAGCATGTGCAGACTAAAATCAATCAAATCTCTGTAAAGGTTTCACATCATATAAATTCACCATATAATTGAACTATGATATTTTAAATTGCTAAAAGTATATAGATACAGCAAAGGCTCATGGCTGTAAAATAGTCTCCAATATTGGTGAATAATTAAATCAGAAATATCTGTCTTAATCAAACATATGCAAAGAATGAGAATGAGTACAAATAAGACTTACTGCTGGTATTTCTGGAAAAAAAACAACCTTCATCTGATACATGCATGCAAATTGTTTTATTGCTGTGTTGAAATCAACTAAGCTGACTTTTATGAATTAATTCAGCTGAATTAATTACAATTCTGATATCACACCAAAATTGTGATATTGGTTACGTCAATATACTTTAAATGCAACAAAGACTTTAAAAATGTTACTTTTTCATATTGCAAATACTATGCCACATTAGTTGGTTGGAGATAAATTTCACAAACTCACTAAAGGTTAGGATTTAAGGTATATATTTTCCTTTTTTAAACTTTTGTACTCACCCCCAATGCACACAAAAGGATCCACAGAATGGACTTGCAGGCAGGCTAACATTTAAGCAAAATCCTCCATGCTATAGCATAAATTGATTGGTGGTTTTTTTCCCTCTCATTTTGATAAACACTTTTAATAAGCTTGGGTCACTTTTTCTTTAAAATACATAATAAAATTTAAACTGGAACACATTTCATTTTTCTACACTGAATAGTTTTATTTCAATAGTTTGCAGCGCAGAGATCAGGCTGAAACAGTATGATTAGTTTTTTTAATTTCATTTGTGGTTGTTTTTTTGCCAGGCTAATGAATAACATTTGCCAATAAGATTAAAAGATTGCTAATATTATCTTCTTTCACCAGCATCGGAAATTGAATTGGGAAGGGCTGTTTGGCTTAAATAATCTATGTTGCAATTTCAGCTGATCTCCCTCTGTATTACATTGGTTCTTTCTTGCATAAATAGCTGTGCCTGCCAGTAGCATGAAGCCATAGCCTTGTCTGACGTTTCAGCAATCTCAACTGTGTCAAACTCTAGCACTTGGTCAGCTATCTAAGAACCCCTTGCCCTTCCTATCCAACCTGTATCTATGTTAACTGAGAAAGCATCATAGGCTTGCTCTATGTTGCCCCATATTCCCTGGATTTTCATTAAGTGCATCCCTTGTATTTCAAGGAGAAAATAGTTTGAACTGTGTAGGAAGCTTATGTACCACCTATCAGCAACTTATTAAATGAGCTAAGTTTTTTTCCAGGAACACATGGATACCCTCCAGGGGTACAGCATGATCCTGAGAAAAATGGATTTAAGGCATTGCAAGAGCTCCTATATGTCTTTGCACACAGTATGTGCTGTGAATGACTTTTTCCTCTTTAAATCCAAAGTATTGTACAGTCTATTTTCAGTACTTCTGTAATTGAATTATACTCATCCCCTAAAAGAATGCATTCCTTTAAGTTTACTGTGATTCTTAGCTTCATAACAGTAACAATTTTAAAATCAATTTTAATTCATTTTGTAATCTGATTACTCAGAAAGAGTCGATGCTTTTTCCTGGTTTCATACTTGAGTCTTTTATCTAAAAGTAGAAAAACACTCAAACATTTTAAATCAGAAGGTACAATATCACCACATTAGGGAAGATCTAAATATATCGTTACCATTAACAGTTCTGAATATATGTGAGAGGCTATTAATACAAAGACATGTTTAGAACAGTGATATAACAGTAATTTTATCTAATTTTTACGTATTTCACTTTGATTAGCAACTAAAAGTATTGGCCTACAGGCAAAGTCTTCAAGCAAATAAAAGCATTGGGATATTTTCCCAAGATGACTGGATTGCCTTCCATTCTAATCTGATCCATGCGCTGACGAACGTAACGGGTCTGATTGTTTCCTTTGCAGAAAGTTGTATCTGTGATGCTGGTTATGTTGTTGAACTGTAAATCAAAGCAATGCATTTGAAAAATCCAAGCATCCTCTTTGAAATTTCATTTTTTTTCTTTTGTTGAGATATTATTAATATTTCTGTAATATTATAGAACATATACATTTTCTCTAAGAAGATTCAGAAACCAAATTAGCATTGTACTTAACACGGGTTAATATTCTTCCTTAGTTCAGCAATAAATAAGTTTAAACAAATATAATTCTAAGGATTTCTGTTTTTAGGCATTTTCAAGTTATTTGAAATAGAATATCTCTCTCCAGTATTCTTCATCTATTCATTGTAATTACTACAGTAATGTGTGACCACGTGCTTATATTAACATCAGTTAGATTTAATCAGTGTAATAATTTTCTAAGTGCTGTCATACTTGACATTTTTTAATTGTAGCACATTGCAAATCCACATTAACAAGTGATTGATGCACATTTTCCCCAGACACTGGGGATGTATTTTAAAGCATTACGCTTGTTGTAAACCAT